TTAAAAAAAATGGAGCCACTGTGGCGGGTACATGGGTATACACCTATATTTTTTTCTGAAATTTTACATATGCTTAAAATATTTTATAATAAAAATTTTCAAGAGAAAATAGAGCTGTCTGAATTTTCTAGGACTAATCTTTTAAATCCCTGGACTAATCCTCAAGAATTTAAATTATTATATTTCAGTATATATACATCAAAATGTTAAAAGTGATTATTAAATTTTAATTATTTTAATCTATATGCTTATGTGTTGGGGTAACTGATATTTAAAATTTTTTTTCATAATGAATCTGGATTATTTTTGTAGTAAGATAGGTTTGGGGTTTTTGGTTTTTTTTAATTCACTAGTTATAAGAAAGTCAAGTTCCTTGGACATCAAATTAGAATATCCTAGTACGTGGCAAATGATTCAAGTAATCCTCACCAAAACAAATGATGACACAAAATATTTATATAAATAGGGCTACAAAGGAAAAATGAAAGATTCATTTCAACAGATTTATGAACATTTACATTTCAATTAAGGAAAGAAGCAAAGAATCTTAAAAGATTAGTGAAGCAAGCTTTATTCTCTGCAAAAGGGAGAGAAGCCAATCTAAAAAGCTAATGACAAGCCCTCAGCAGTGATGTGTGGCAGTGTATTCTCTTACTGTCCTGTATCTAACTCCAAAAACCAGTTTCTAAGAGAAACATGCCTATAAATGTCTTCAATTTTATATAATTATTTCTTTAACAATTCCTCTTGTAACATTTCGCTTACCTAAATTCTACATTAAGCTCTAAAACTGAATATAAGTTAAGTAGTTCTCAGACACAGACACATTTTTAAGCACTTTTTACCAGGCTGAAGTCTGTTCCTCATTATCAAAGACAGACAAATATGTTTTTGTCTGGTGGTTCCAGGGGTAAAAGAGAACACCTGTATTTTAAAACCAGGAAAGGAACTTGCCCTACACAGTGGAACTCTGAGCATTTATTAAAACTGTCAAGCTTCAGGAAGAAAAACTATTGATATGGAGCCTCAATAGTTCTAAAGGAAGCAAATTTAACATAAAAGATAATAAAACTAATGGCATGAAATAAAAGACAATAAATCACATATAATTCTTGTTTTCCAGAGGCAACAGTAATGAAGCCACAAGCTCACATTTCAGGTCTCAAACACTTTAGGTTTTACATTATATCAGCTGCCAAAGCTATTGAATGCACACAAAAGGACATGTGTTAAGCGTTCTCCCTCCTATTGCCTATTCCCTTACTACCAAAAAGAAAACAAACTCTAAGATAAAGTGCATGCAATATAGTTATAAATTCATTTCACATTAGCTTGTGACAACTGAGGTTCAAAATTTAACCACAAATTTAGTACCATATCATTTGTTAACATACCACTCTGAAAATTCCTCCCATTCCTTTAACAAACTTAATACTAATCGGAAAAGGAGTCTCAGGAAAAATAAGCAAATATCTAGTTATAGATTCTCATGGTACTTTCTCAGAAATGCCTGTGTACTGCATGAGCATGAATAAAGTGATAGGTAAAAATGATCCTTAAAACGTACAAGGAACAGTCTGCCAAAGAACTGAAAATATTTGTGTTTAGGTTAGATTCTCAATTCTCACAAGACCCCCACTTAGGAGACACAGCACTAATTATACTTTGCTAATGGGGCAAAAAAAGGATCCTGTCTTGGCACCAAAATCTTGCAAAAAGCAGAGATTTCCTCAAAAATTAGTAGGCAGTATTTCTTCTATCAAGTTCCTACATTTCGTTTCTGTGCAATGTTAAAAAAGAATTGTTCTATATTCACTGAAAATAAGAAGACAAATCCTAAAATAAATCACCACTAGGCAAGACAAAGTAGCTATAAAATTAAAACTCTCATCCTACAAGACTGTAAAAAACATTACTACCATCTGCATTATTATGATTACTATTATTACTAATCACCAGTATAACAGTATATTGAAGTCAGAAGCACAATATATGTGCTTTTCTTTGCTTGATTCTCTAAATAATAGATTATATATCTTAAATAAAGAACTTGATTTTTACAGGCTCATAAATTTTAGTACTTAACTGCCAGGATTTCTTGGAAAATTTTAAAAAGGACTCTGGATCTCAACCAATATTATTTCTTTGTTCTTTGCATATACAGTTAAAAGTATTACCATGGTTATTAACAAAGAAAAGCTGACAAATCCCACAAATAGAAAAGTAAAACTCCATAACACCAAGAAAAAAAACTATTTAAGTGCATTAAATCTGAGGTAAACTCACATTTAAACAACATACAGCCATTTACCTTCACTGAATTCATTTAGCAACTCTTCCTTGGTCCAATTACATGAGGTTATTAGAAAAAAGCCTTTTACTTTCAACACCCTGGAGAGAGATTTCACATACTGCTTCCTCTTCTCCACTGCATTGTCAGGATTAAGGCTTATGGCATCAAAAGTCCCTTTGTCAATACAAATATGAAATCCAGACAGCTCTGCGGAAGGATTCAAAAAGTCTTCTACCTATATGAAAAATCAATGTCTCTGTGAGAACAATTCACACACAATCTGTACTGAATTTAAGTGACAATCTGTAAAAAGTTATAGATAAAAGGACCAATTAACTATGATGGCATTTTATATAGAATAAACATAGTTTCAATTTTATAGCCTACTTTTATGTGCTTCATTCCAAGATCATTAAAGCTAAGATTAGTGAGACTGACAGTGTTTCCTGGACATTCTAAATCTCTACAAATTTGGAAACAAATCAAAGCCAGGTGTATTGCCTAATAATACCAGCACGTAATGGAGCACACAAGTCGGGCTTATGAAAAAGTTATTTCTGTTGAACAATAGAATATTTGACGTATTTTTCAAAATGAAAAAAAAACTGGAACTCAAACAGGTCACTGGACATAAGATGATCTTTAGCTGGTATTACTAGTTGTGTGACCTAAAGTAAACACGGTAAATCAAAAGTTCTTCTGCCTTGACTCAGTAGGTTAGGAAGCAACTGATGGATACATGGCACAAAGCTTAAGAAATTAAAGGATTATTTACACTGCAATTACTTAACTTTATAACTATCATGCACTTCAGATTTTGAAAGTCATATGTCAGCATCTCATCCATTTTCAGTAACTTCCTGATACTTTATAAGCATTTGAAATAGTGATCTGCCTCAATTCCACAAAATATTCAAAATAATTTGCCAATGAACTTAATTCTGAAAAGCTACTTTGAGAAAGTAATTAAGCAGTTAGCTCGTGATTATTCATATAAACTTAAAAAAAATCATAAAAATCTCTACCTAAAAATCTCTTACTGTTTGACTTAAAAGTGTGGATTGTATGTTTACATACATTTGAACATAGGTTTCCTACCCCTGCCTCACATCCAAATATTCATTATACCTGAAACAAAATAATGACTACCACTCTTAAGAGTCGAGTTTGGAGAAGTTCTTATCCTAAATGCCTTTATACAAGTATTCATGTATTCAACAAATATTTCATAGACCCCTATTACATGCAGGAACTTTTCAGGCCCTAATATAACTGCAAACAAAACAGAAAAGGTCCCTGTATGAGAATATATGTTATATTCTCTAAAAGGAGAGCCAAACAATAAATAAGCTAATCAAATTATTTCAGACAAAGTGCCATGAAGAAAATAAAACCAGAGTAATGAAGACAGTGAGTGATTAGGCAGAGGTATGTTTCTGGAAAAGTTCGTCAGGAAAGACCTCTTCAAGAAGGTGATATATGAGCAGAGATCTGAATGACGAGCCAAACAAGCTAAGATCTGGGACAAGAACATTCTAGGCAGAGAGCAGCAGGTATAAAGACTGGAAAAAAACAGGTGACATGTATCAGGAGCAGAAAGCAAGCCAGGGTGACTGGAGCATTGGTGACACAGAAGGAAAGAGGTAAGAAATGAGGGGTTTTGTAAGACTGGGTGGGGCTTCAGATTCATTCTGAATGGAAGGGAAGCCCTTGGAGGCTGGTTAGCAAGGAAGTGACACAAGCTGATTTATATTTTAAAAAATCACTCTGGCTGCCCTGTGGTAATGGACAGCAGGGTGGCAAGAGTGGAAACAGGAAGGCCAAGTAAGTGCCTACTATAGTTATCTAGGCAAGAGATGATGGTGGCTTGGATCTGGGAGGTAGTAGTGGAAATATCAGTGAATGATCACATTCCTGATATACTCTGAAGATAAAACCAATAAAACTGGATGTAGGATTTAAGGAAAGAAAAGAATCAAGGATGACTCCTTGGGTTTGGGATTAGTTCAACACATGAATCAACAGTGGTGTCACTAACAGAGATGGGAAAGAAGCGTGACAGAAGCATCACAGATCAAGGGCACAAAAATACACTAAGTGCTTTGGTGGCATTATACCGGTTTATACATTTATAACTTTTTGCTCTAGTTAATATAAAGTTGGCTATTATTTGTGTGTTTGCAAATGAAAGAGAGCCAGAGAGAGACAGAACGAACACACTTGCACACAAGGAAGAAGAGAAAACTTCCCCCAAACTGACTAAACTGAAATTTTAATACAGTTATTTAAAAAATATATCATTTTGGTTTATTTATGATTGATCCTTAATTTATATGAGCTCAAAGATGTCAGCAAATTAATACATTTCAGAAACATTTAAACTTTGTAACTTTTATTATAAATAAAAGTAACAGTTACAGTAATATAGTTACCTTCAACTTAATGTTAGATAAACCTTCTTTCTCTATTATACTCCCAGAAAGCTGTATTGCAGAAGGAGAGTAATCAATTCCAGTAATATTAGAGAAACCAAATTTTGCCTAGAGACAGAGAAATAATTTTATACTTTAGTTTTTAAAAGTTTTAATTACTGTTTTAACTGTGAATTGTAATACTCCTTTGGAACTGCAGCTGCTTTATTTTTTAACATATCAAATGACATATACCATCCAATAATCTACAATGTTTAAGTTTTACTGTAGAATCTAAATAGAAACTGAAAGTTTAAATTGTATAATGTGACAATACATTTGCTTTTATAACATTTGATTTCTTTTTCAAAAAGAAATTCATTTTCTCAAAGACAGTGAGAACATATGTGTATTTCTGCTCTAAAGCAAAAAATGTAGTATTAAAATCTTCTGATGTTGATATGCTCTAATTCATATATAATCTGTCATACATTTTACTTAAAACAATTAAGTTAAATGAATAAATTAAATAAATGCACATGTAATAAGTTCTTGATTTTAAAATTTTTCCTTCAGTGTAATTTAAATCATGCAATTCTCCACTAGACTAACCACTACACACTTTTTGCTTTTGAAATATTTCATACATTCCAACAGATCTCTACAAAAAACCTGCCGAGGCAGAATGGGAGAAAATATTTGCAATTGATTCGACCAACAAGGGAACTAACTTACAAAATATACAAACAGCTCATACACCTTAATGTCAAAAAAAGAAGCAACCCAATCAAAAAATGGGCAGAAGATCTAAACAGACATCTCTCCAAAGACAGACAGATAGCCAACAAGCACATGAAAAGATGCTCAATATCACTAACTGTTAGAGAAATGCAAATCAAAAACTACAGTGAGGTATCACCTCACACCAACCAGAATGCCCATCACTAAAAAGTCTACAAATGATAAATGCTGGAGAGGATGTGGAGAAAAAGGAACCCTCCTACACTAATGGTGAGAGTGTAGATTGGTGCAGCCACTATGGAGGACACTATAGTTTCTGTAAAAAACTAAAAATAGTCTTACCATATGATCCAGCAATCCCACTCCATTCCTGGGCATATACCCAGAGAAACATATAATTCAAAAAGATACATGCACCCCAATGTTCATAGCAGCACTATTTATGCTAGCCAAGACAGAGAAACAACCCAAATGTCCATCAACAGATGACTGGATAAAGAAGATGTGGTACATATATACAATGGAACACTACTCAGCCATAAAAAAAGAATAAATAATGCCATTTGCCTCAATATGGATGGACCTGAAAATTGTCATTCTAAGCAAAGTGGGCCAGAAAGAGAAAGAAAAATACCATAAGGCATCATTTATATGAAGAATCTAAATAACAGTAACAACATTAATGACACAAATGAACTATTATTTTGATTTCTTGAATGTGTAAGCACATTTGACTGTCCTTTATGAGATTACTGCATTCTGTTGATTCTTATTTTGAAGTTGGCTTTATTCCTTTGATAATTATGTAAGTTTAAAAAGTCAAAGATCTAATCTATTCTTAGAAACAATAATTAGTACATATATGTAAACTAAAAAAAGTGCAGTATACTGTATATATGTATATACATGCAATGTAATGTGTATGTGCAGTTGAACTGTAATAATTCTACATAATGAAAGATAACTAAAAGTAAAAAAGAAGTCAATTAAAAAACTGAGCCCCCCCTCCCCCCAAAATCAATCAACTCTAAAAGAATCAAGAAGAAAAATCATCTGATCATCTCGGTGGATATCCAAGAAAGCAATTGATTAAATTCAACACCCATTATGATTAAAAACTTCTTAACAAACTAGAAAGGAACATCCTCAATCTGATAAAGACTATTTATAAAAACCTAGGGTTAACATCACATTTAACTGTGAAATATCAGAAGCTTTCCTCTTATAACAGGCAGTGTTACACGGCTACCTGCCTTCATGATTTCTATTCAACATTGACTTAGAGAGTACAAAGCATTTTAATAAACAGAATATTAAGAATGGAATAGAAGAAATACAACTACTATTTACATATGTATGATATTACAGTCTATATAGAAAACACAAAAGAATAGAAATAAACTATTAGAATTAATATGTGAATTACTGGAAACAAGATCAATATAAAAATCTGTTAAAATATATATATATAAAAATCTGTTGTACTTCTATATACCAGCAATAAACTATTAGAAAATGAAATTTTAAAAGCATAAAAATAAGAACTACAACAATAAAAAATCTAGGAATCAATCAAGAAAAGATATATAAGATCTCTACAGAGAAAACTATAAAATACTACTGAGAGAAAATTAAGAACTAAATAAATGGAAGAATACATTATGCTCATGGAGTCAGAGACTCAATGTTGTAAGATGTAAATACTCCTTGAATTGATCTATAAATTCAGTGCAATCTTAATCAAAATCAGAGGGGTTTTTTTCCTGAAAAGTGATAGGATGATTCTAAAATTTAAATAAATATACAAAGAGCTAACTAACAACATCCAAGACAGCAGTGGAAAAGAGAGCACAGTTGGAGAACGTACATTAACCAAACATGAAGATTTATAAAACTGCACTAATTGAGACAACATGTCATTGGCATAACGATAAACAGACCCAAAGGAATAAAACAGAGGATCCAGAAAGAGACCCAAATATACACCATTACTTGACTTATGACAGAGGTACCACTACAGTGCAGTGGGCAAAAGGATGGATATTTCAATAAACGGTGCTGGTTCATAGGGAAAAAAATAAACCTCGACTTCAACCTCACAACCTACACAGTAATTAATTGAGACCTAAATGTGAAAAGGAAAACAGTAAAGCTTCTAAAAGAACACATAAGAAAATATCTCCATGACTCTGGATAGGCAGATTTACTTTACACTATTCAAAAGCACTAATCATTTTTAAATGATACATTAAACTTTAGTAAAATTACAGAACTTCTGTTCATCAAAAGATACTATTATGAAAGTGAAAAGACAAGCCACACACTAGATGAAGGTATTTGTGATACAAAGGTTATATACACAGAATATATAAAGAACTCCTACAAATCAGTAAGAAAAAGAAAGGCAACCCAATTTATAAACAAGCAAAAACTTGAACAGCATATCACAAAAAAGACTAGCCAAAAAAGCATATGGAAATATGCTCAACATCCTTAGTCAGCACGGAAATGAGAATAAAGTCTTAAGATACCACTACACATCTACCAGAATCACTGAAATTGGATCAGCTGAAAAGAGCAGGGGTTGGCAAGGACATGGAGCAACCAGAATTCTCACACACTGCCAGTAGGAGTGCAAACCAGTACAACTAATTTGGAAAATTCTTTGGCAGCATTCATAATAACCCAATACTGCAAATGAGCTAATGTCCATCAACAGGAGAATGAATGAATAAATGAATGAATGACTAAATCAATAAATAAACTGTGGTATTTTCATATAGTATGGTACTAACCACAATGAAATGAAGCAATCTAGTGCTACACACAACGTGAAAGAACGTGGATAAGCCTCACAAATCCATGTTCAGTAAAAGAAGCCATATTAAAAACATAAGTGCATACCCAGTGATACATACCATTTACACCAAGTCAAAAAGAGGCAAAGCTCAGTGAAATGGAGAAAGGATAACCTTTTTAACAAATGACAGGTGGAACAATTCACCATTCACGTGCCAAAAAAAAAAAAAAGAAATTAACCCCAACCAGTATCTCAAACTTCTACAAAACCTACTTCAAAACAAATAATAACTCTAAATGTAAAATGCAAAACTTCACCATTTTCAGAAGAAAATATAGGGTATAGACCTATGTGATCTTGGGTTAAGCAATGAGTTCTTTAATGTGACAACAAAAGCACAATCCATATAAGAAAAAAGTAATACTTCTGCTCTTCAGAACACATTGTTAAAGAGAATGAAAAAAACAAGCCAAAGAATGAGAGAAAACTTCTGCAAATCACATAACTAA